GCGGAGGTCACCGCTGTTACTATCGTAACGTCGCCGCTGTTGATTCGCGTTGCCTAGCGACCGCGATATCCCTCGGTGACGTCACCGCGGAGGGGAGTGGCGGGGCGGGAACTCGCCTATTACCGTAGTAACGCAAGCGTTACGTTATCGCCACGTACCGCTGGGGAGGTAGGGGTCGACATGTCACAATATAATAAGAAATAGAAATAAGAGCAGAAAGCTTCTTAATGTAAGTTTGTGTGATGGTTAATCAATAAGTGTCCTCTTTGATATTTATGGTTGTTACTACAGATGTATTTAATTTACAGAACTTACATAAAATATTTGGATTTAATCCCCACAGAGGCAAGAACGTCCTCTCCACGTCATCCAGACCAGCTCTGGGGTGCACCCAGCCTCAATCCAGTGCGAATGAGTGGGGGGGCTCCCCTGGGATAAAGAGGCTGAGGCGTGAGGCTGACCTCCAACTAGTGCCAAGGTCAAGAATACATGGATCTATACATCCATTCCTCCATGCATCTTCATGGCATAGTGCTTATTCAGTTAAGCACAGAAAGAACCTTACCTTATTTTGACTTAATCTCGAGATTTTTATTTTAGTTCTCCCTGTGCTTAACTAGATAAGCACTATGCCATGAAGACATGTGGGGGAATGGATGTATAGACCCACGTTTTCTAGACCTTGACAGTAGTTGGAGGTGAGCGAGTGGCTTCACGACCCGACCGCTTTACCCCTGGGGATAGAGCCCCCAGTACCCAATGTATAGGAAGCTGTATGTCCCCCAGAGCCAGTCTGGATGACATGGAGAAGAGAAAATTCTTGACCCTAACAGTACTCTAACTCCAGACCCTCAGATCCAGCCCATAGCTACTCGCTGCACCAACAATTATTGTTCAGAAAACATGCGGTTGAGTGTCTGGTATATTTTCTATCTTTGAGAAAGTCACAAAATATGGTTCTGTCTTAAAACTACATTATCGTGCTTTGCTTTATATCTTTTGACTTCAGACAGACATTTGCACATCTTAACTGTATTGTGAAATGATGGAAAATTTATAGACAGTGATACTGAAGTAATGAATAGAAAGGTCTGTAGAAGAGTTCTGTGTTCTGGGATATAACGCAGTGCAGTCTGTTGAATGTCGGCCAACATTTTGGAGGAACATGTCACCTCCACCTTCAGGGCCGAAACCAGCATGAAACATGTAGCAAGCGGAGCCATTGGCTTGCCCACAAAACAGAATGAGCAAATGGGAACTGACTTATTTTTCATTACCCTCTTGTTTCCTATATAATCTGAAATTTCAGCAAGCTGATGGCCCTGCTTGCTACCTGCTTAATGCTTGTTTCATGGTTGGCTTATTCAACCCTGAAGATGGAGGGTACATGTTTATCCAATACACCAGTTGACTTTCAGTGGACTACATGTTGTATTCCAGAAGACAGAACTCCCATAATCACTGCTGTGAAAGGCGCAGATCTTGCACAGGTTGCCTTTCTCAAAATTGCTTTATAGTATACCTGTATTTTGTATATTTGGCCAATATCGTGTATAAGTGTGATAATCTGTGGTCTGACAGGGTGGAACAAGCAGACTAACAACCCAAAAGTGTGGAAAGGCTCATACCTAAAGTTAATATTTGCATTACATTTCCAGTATAATTCTTTTAATTTAATGTATTCTGAGCAAAATGTGGCAGTCCTGACCTCTTCATGTGAGACTTTCCCAGTATTAAAAGCAGTTATATGCTGTTGTGAGCTAATTTCCACTTTTTATTATAGATATTTTAAGTTTTTTTTTCATAACCATTTAAAGCACAGTGATTACTGTATGTGTCATCTGCTGTAACATTTAGGAACCATGCTTTTAACCCAAAGAGTGTATTTATGTTTCATATGATTCCCAGAATAAACAGCATTCATTATTACAAATATTATATTTTTGGACATTATCTAAAAATGTCGTCCTGTGTATTTTTCAAAACAACGTTTTGGAGCTGGATTCTGTCTCTGTCTTCAGGTAAAACCTACTCAGTCCAGAGATAGGGACTAGCTCTATCAATTGGGCCCTGAAGATCTAGACAGAACCAAGTCTCCAAAACGTTGTGTTTTGAAAAATAAGCAGGATGGTGTTTTTGGATGAAGACAGGACAATGGATAATGTCCAAAAACATGATATTTGTACAATGTACCATTGTCACAAACTTTTAGATCTTATTAGCATTTATTAAGCTAAAACACCATTGACTAATTGGTCTTTGTAATGGAGATGCAGACTTTACTGCACGGTAGGAACTCAGTTTGTAAATATTAATTATTTAGACCAATTTCATGCTTCAGAGAGTTAAGGAGAGGTAACGGTAGAGAGGAGCAGAAGTTCCATTGCATTTCATGGCTGTACCAGGATGTTTTCTAAGGCTGAGGGCACAATAGATCACTGTGGTTGTGGTGCAAGGGCCAAGAAGGCCCACCCCTTATTATACAAGGAAACTGGCAACCACAACGCAACCGCGATTTCCGAGAATTGTTATCAGCCTGGGTTGAACACGTATTACTGAATGGAGCAGCACAAATTAAGGAAACAGCAACGCAACTCACGGGGAGACTGCAAAGTCAACTTCCAGGCAATGGAGCATGCTAGTCTTCTCACAATTGCATTGCTACATGGTTTCCTAGTGTCAGCTGTTCTGTAATGCACTTCAGCGATTCGTTTGTTTGTTAAGATAGCGTGAAAGGTTGACGAAGCTGCTGATTTTGTTTTTTGCAGTTAATTGACCAAGAACCTGGTATATATGACAAATGCCACCCAGTCTGTGCTAGGTGGGACAAAAGAGATTTGACTTGGGAAGGAATTTCTCATGAGACGAAGGAGTTAAGTTCTTCCAAAACAATATAAGTGCCTCAGTTTAAATTGTCACAGAAGAATGGATGCACCCATTGTTTTCTTTTCCTATATTGTATTTAAGCTTCCTGTTGCGTTAATATATCATTTATTTCACATATATTTCCATCTTAAATGCAACTTATTATATAGTCACCCTTCTTCCACGTTACATGGTTCGGCTGTATATGGCCATCATCAGGTATCTTCTGTCTTGCTAAAATTGTTGGGCTGTACATGAGAATTTCATAATGCATGTGAACGCATTATGTCCTGATTAAAATAAATTGACCTTAATTAAAACAAATTAATTAACATCCCAATATTTTCCTTATGTCTGTCCTCTCTTCTCACGTCATCTCAGCTGGTCTCAACTACCACCGCATTATGACAGGATCAATATTACTATCTGCCATTGCAGAGGGTAAGTGCACGAAATTAAAAAATACAATCGTGCATTATGTCAGATGACCATACCCATTTAAGATGGTGTGAGCAAGTGATAAAAATAATGAATTCTCCTAAAACCTGTGTTAGAAACTAAGAATTTGAAGTATGACATTTTGGGATGGTATGTTGTGGAGAGAGGAAGCACTTTTTAGAAAATTTATGCACGTTTAAATGATTCATTATATCTTAGAAGAAAAGATTAATTTTGTTACAGGTACTTATGAAACAGCACTTCGCAGTATAATGAAATTTGGTGTTGTGGGAGAGTTTAAAAGTAGGTACAAATTTTATGTAAGCTCTTTTGTGTAAGTATGAGCTTGGTCATAGTGAACTGTAAGCAATGAAGCTTCACTGTTTGAATTACTTTTTTTGCAAATAATTTTGCAGTAAAAGTTTATGTTGCCTCCCATCATTTCGTCATGGTTTACGCAGACTTTTGAGTGGTTTGTAGCCATATTTTATTTATTGTTGAGTAAAATGTTAACACTTTTTTTTTTTTTTTGGTAATGATAGAATTGTTACATGACTCAGGTTCAGGGGAAGATCAACGTTTTCATTTTATGAGCAGATTGTTCTTGATGTTTGTTATCGTGCTTCAGTATTTTTGTTCCATTTTGTTTCCAGTTCTTCTAGAACCAATATTTGGTCCCCACTAATAATCTGATCTAGTTAACTGCATTTTATAAAAGCTGTACTGATATCAAAGTTTGTGAAACAGTGAAAATTAGAAATGTGGCTATGGATATCATGGTCCTCTGTCTGTAGGAACTGAAATGTAGAACACAGCCTTATGTAATTATTGACTTGGAATTTTGGTTGGACAGGAATGTGGAAATGGAAAATAAGCATGATTTTTTCATGAAATTTTTTATATATAAATAATGCAGTATTGCATGGCTTGTATTTGTAATGGAATGGAAATTAATTTCCCATTTTTAAGGAGCTAAAGTCTTTACTTTTATATATTTTTACAGTGTTCCAATGTGGAGATATCTATGAAGAAAATTTATTTAGTGTATGGATATTATTAATACCTTTTCTTTAGGCCAGTATGTATACCAGCAAATACTTGATCTGTATTGACAAACTTATCAAAAGTCTCACACACTTGCCAGTGCATTGTATTTTTCAATCTTGATGCAAAAGCTGAACCTGAAAATATCAGAAACATGTTTTCAGAGGGGGAAAAGTGCCAGATATTATCATGGAGGAATGTTTTTGTTCCAAACCACATAGAAGTTTTACTTTTTGTTGAAATTAAAAGTGGATCAAGTTTGAAACCGTGCATGCAGATTCGCATGTGAATCAGAATCTGTTTTTTAATGCCATTCATGTAATTGTTTCAGGCCTGCAACTCATCAGCATGAGATGTCAAGTGACTTTTCTGCCATAAGGGCAAGGAGCTGTTGCTGTGCAGTCATAATAAGCAAGTTACAGCATTTCTCTGACATCCGTTTTGCCGTCCTATCATCTGTGTATGGCTGTTTCAGATAGTCTTTTCTCTTGAGGCTGTGCTACCACAATCTGTTCATGTCATGACTGAAGTGAAAATTTGTGCATGTCAAGACTGAAGTGAAAATCTGTGCATATCAAGACTGAAACATAACAGGAAGATAATATTACAGTCTTATAGTAAGAAATTTCTGATGTGTGTGACCAAGTCAGACTGATAAATTGTCCAAAAAACTGCCTTTCTTGCTTTACTATGGTTGCATGTAGGAGGATAACACATATGCATGATATCTGACTTTGTGCTTTGTTTTGACGCTGTCTGTGTGCAATGTCGGTTACTGTTCACTGGCTTTTCTCTATTGACACCACATGTTTGGCCTAACTGTCCATCTTCAGGTGTACAGGTTGCTGTGATTGTGGGATCTGCTGCTTACTGTGATGCTGTTCTGTTTCTGCTATGTAGAGGCCTTGGATTACATGTGGTTATGTGGGTTAGCCATCTGTTGCGTATTTACGTGTCTCTGAGCTGCTTGTGTTATAGCCTTATAGTTTTGTTGCCTGTGGCTGTCTTGAATGTTCTTGCTGGGGTCGGAGATTGTTGTGATGATGGCCAGCCACAACACAACAGACGTGTGCAGCTCAAGGACACCTAAATAAGAAACAGATGGTTAACCCACATAACCAGATGTAATCCGAGTCCTCTGCATAAGAGAAACAGAACAGCATTACAGTAAGCAGCAGGTTCCACAGTTGCAACAACCGGTACACCTGAAGATGGCCAGTTAAGCCGAAACATGTAGTGGCAATAAAAAGAAAACTATGAGAGAATATTAACCGACGTTGCACAGAGACAGCATCAAAGCATAATGCAAAGTCAGATCCAAGCAGTGCAACAGGATGCTGCAATATATTATTCCTGATATCAGTTTATGTAAAATTCATTCATGGTCTTCTGGCTTGAGACATGTGTTTACCAAAGTTTTCTGTTGGTCTCTAGAAGCTAGGGACAGTGTATTCTCTGGTTGTGATGAAATTGTGACTAGTTGGAAATCAGTGTGATGTGTCACGGGGCATGTCACATACATGTGAAGCACTATATATGGAGCAAGATCTACATGCATCAATGCATCACGTGCAAGACATTTTTTTATATTTGGTAGTCCCTGTTGATCTCATTTCCATCTTCTAATGGTTAAGAAGAAAGCAGTCAACATTAGTCTGTTAGCACCTGCACACGCTGGTTCCTAGCTCGCGGATTTTCTTCTTTTTTCTTCTACCATGAAGATTGAGGTGATATGTTCCTCTGAAATGCTGGTTTATATAAGATCTATGTGGAGCCACATCCAAGAAGACTGCTATCTTCATAGTCACTGCTGTGAAAACCTCAAGTCATACCTTCTAATGCTTAAGTTTATCAATGCTGTAAATTTAATAATCAATATATAACAGGAATTGTTCATTTATGGAATATGATCACTTGTATTCATGAATTTATAAGGCAGAATACTAGTTGGATCTTTTCCTTTCTTTTTTATGCATATTTGGCATTTTCTGTGACAGAACTGTGTGTATTCCCATTGTTGTAAGTTGCAGTTCTTGCAGGCAACACACATATTGATGGAGTGTGATATGGGAGTTCCCTCATGAAACCTGTCTAAAGCATATGAGAAGCATTATATCAGCTTCCACTTCGGTTGGTCTAAATCACTTTCCTCTATGTCTTACAGAAGTATTAGAAGTTACAAACATTTGCTACAGTTTTTGTTGATGTGTGAAATGGATTCTGTAAGCTTGCACCTTACCTCTCTTTGCTAGTTTTTATCGAATAAAGTTCAGCCAATAATGTCTCTTTCCTGAAACTCATCCTGTAAACTATGGCTCTCATATCTGCATACAGTATCAGGATGTGGCAGTTTGGATTAAATGACAGTGGACTTTTCTAAACTCCTGATAACTTGAAAGACTGTTGTCTTCTAAGATGTGAGGCTACGTAAGCTGATAGAATGTTACCACCACTTAAGAGGAACATGTAAAGTTATAAGACCCTGAAGATGGAGTCTTGACATTCCTCAGGAATGCTGGTAACATTTGACCACACTACATGGTGTCACATCTCAGAAGACTGAAATCCTCATGGTTACTGCCATAGAAACGTCCGATCTTAGATGAAGACACGTTTGCTTAGAGAGTATACATTGTAATGGCATGTACAGGGAATACACAGTCATGAGTAGATAACATTTGGTTTTGATTTGACATGGGAGTTAAGTGTAGGATAACAGCCCTAAATTGAGAACTGAAAGTTGTGTCTTCTGCCTTCTGAATTGCACGGTGACAGTGAGGAGTCTACTGCTGGCTCTTGGAATGAAGCGTGCACCTTTTTGAGTTGTAGCGACATGTTTGGAGGCATCCTGAAGGTGACATATTCTCCGTAAATATTGGGCTGTCTCCAAACTACATGTTTTTACAACTCAGAACCCCAAACTCCTTATAGACATTGCCATGAACACTTCCAATCAAACATAGATCTCAGAATGTTTGTGTAAGTTACACAAATTGCTGTCTGATTGCAGAGGTAATTGTAAGTGTAAATTGGATAGGAATTGCTGCAGCTTTTGGGGTTGGGGTGGGGGTAAAGTTGCATGTTCCTAATTGGTACAATTAGAAATGTCTTGGCGGCTAATTCTTCAATACTCTAGCAAGCCATAGTGGACAGTTTCGGCATCGTATTAAAGTAGAATTCTGTAATGCAAGCGTATGGAAACATGACTGCCGTAGCTTGACTAAGGTAAAGACAGATGGGTTGCAGCATAGTGAGAGCACTTAGTTGAATTGTAACTAATTCATCAGGTGGTACTTGAAAATTCTGTTAGGATTTAGAATGTTTGACAGTTTAGGACTTATACTGTTGCAAGATATTTTACATTCATTGTATCCAAAAATTATACAGACTGAAGCAAATATAAACATTCTGATGTATGTGAGGATATTTGGATCCTGGGTGGGATATTTATAATTTTTTTTTTCCTTGGCACTACAGCCCCAGTGGGCCTAGGCCTACCTCCATGAAGTCCGTATTTATAATTTACTTTAATAAATACTCATCAGAGCTGACTATGTCTTTGCTTCATGTTTTAGGAAAACCCGTTACGTGTACACCCTAAGGATGTCTGTACAGATGCAGATGACACTTATAAGGGGAAATAAGAATTTTGCACACATTGTAAAGGGTTTTATTTTATAGATCCATACAGGTCAGTCATATTTAGAAAGTCAACTCCTCTGATGCAGGTGGGATGGATCTGCTACGAGCCTTGTGTTGTCACAGGAAAATTCAGATCAGTATGGGCAGACCATTAATGTCTCGAATGGAGTTTGAGGCCAACTATATAGGTCACCTGAGACTGTATGCATGTATGACAATGCAGCCAAGTGGTTCAGCCTTCATCCTCACTGATACATATTTCTGCTTTACAGTGTGCTGTCAGGAAGGACTGGAATTGAATGACCCCAGCTGAGTGCTGATGGCATTAATACATACAAGCCAAAAACAAATAAAGTTGTCCCTGTGCTTTGTGCAACACCACACTCAGAATTTGTACAGAGTGTAAATAAAGTGAAGTATATGAGAACATACAAAACAGCATCTGCAGAAGAGTCGCATCGTAAATACAATTAACAAATATTTCAGAATTTTATTGTGTGGGATGAAAAAAAAAATAATTACTGGATTAAGGGTAAATTCTGGAAATTCTTGTCCTTTCTCAAAAACCTCTCTTGAATACTTCATGACATCAAGACGTTAAAATTCGGTAGCCTGTTGAAAGAATAAATGTTGATAGTGTTTATGGAGGTAAGTAGAAATTTTCACTTGCATGCATAAAAAGTTGCAGTCATGTTCCCTGTGGACATGAACATGGAACCTTGTGAAGGTCAGGTTGCTGCCTCATCCATAAGACCAACACATCTGGTTGAATTTGCCTATAAATTTGAATGTTCAGTGAATTTACAAGTATCCTCAGAGTCTGATTGTTCGAAGTGTCCACTTTATGATTAAAATAAATGTAGAATAAATCCTTACGAGACCAGTCATGTTACAATATGAATGGTATTAGAATAAAAAGCTCAAGACTGGATGTACCAAACTGTTTAACATCTTCTGAATATAGCAGTAGTGACAAACATTGGATGAATGATCCAGCATGACAAGCATTAGCTCAGTGGTACAGCAATTGGCTTGTATGCACGAGAGCATGGGTTCAAGTCCATGTGGAATGGGAATAGAATGAAGTAATCATCATCAAGGGGTGGGCCCAAGTTAATATACATGAAGTTAGTGCTTAATGCACGATTTGCAGGTTCAGTACGAAATGCAAACAAAACCCTGTACTTTTTTGTTCCAGTAACCTTCAATCTTCAAGAGCACAGCACTGCTGCAGCTCCAAGCTTTTAGCCTGGGCTTTGATAGTTTGGCTGCAGATGTAGCTGTATTTGCGAAGAAGGGGATGCAGTAGCCAATCAGCATCAGTGGTCAGAATCAAGTTAATATTCGTGAATCTAGTGCTAATTGCATGACTCAAAGGTATTGCAAGAAATGTAAACAAACCCCTAAACTGTCTAAACTTGTAACCTCCAAAAAGTCTTCAAGAGCTCATTTATAGCCACAGTTTCAAATTTTGGATGAGGATTACAGAGCAGTGTTGCAGATGAACGTTTATGTGTTACACAGAATATGAGGATAAACTCTGCTTCCTTGATTCACCATCTGTGCAAGCCAAGTGGTCAATCCTCGTTCAGTCGAATCTTTTAATTTATGCTGAAATGACTGGTCTGAGGAAGATCATTTATTCTGTATGTCTCCTGTGAGGCATCAGCTGACTGGTTGACCACAACCCCCTTAATCTCAGGGGTAAAGCACCATTTCCACGTGCAGCAGCCCCTAAGTTCAGTCAAGAGGTTTCATGAAGATACTTTTCTTCCATTACTCTACTTGGTATTGGGTCTGAAGCTTGCTTTCAGTCTAAAGCAGATGAGAACTGACCAGTCGGCTTGCAAAAATGGCTAATTGAAGAAATGAAGTTCATCCTCATACCCTATCTAGGAGATAAATGTTCAACTGTGGCAGTGATGTTTAATCCTCATCAGAAAGTTCACAGCTCTGGCTTGAATGTGCTCTTGAAGGTTTTAGAAGTTATAAGATCAAAACAATCAGGGTTATATATACATTTCTTGTATCTTCAAAATATTTGCATTTAGCACTACATTCATGTATTTGTACATAGACTTGGCCCCTGACCATTGATGCTTATTGTCTACTGTAGCTCATTTTTTCGGAAATAAGGCAACATTTGCAGCCAAATGCCCAGAGCTGCAACATGTCTTGTGTTCTTGAATGTCTTTGAAGGTTATTACATCCAAAAATTGCGGGTTTTGTTTACATTTCATGCCTTACCTATAAGTATTGCAATAGGCACGGAATTCACGTGGACTTATGTGCCCCCGCCCCTTAATGTTGGTTGGCTATACAGTCACAGTCACGTGATGGAGGGGGGGGGGCCGATGGTAACTCCTTTTCCCTTCCTGGAGGCGTGGTTTCGTTTACTGTACCCATAGATTGTGCAGTAAGCACTTAAATGGCCCCGCCCCTTAATGTTGATTGGTTACTGATTACTCATGGTCCTGTAACTGCCGCATGTTCGTGTTCTTGCCGCGGTGCATCGGAAAG